CAGGTAATTTATGGTAGAACTTATTACATCAGTGGTGACAGTGTTCTTAAAGAAGAGGTAAATGTCAAACCTGATGATGTGCAGTCTTTATTGAGCGGGAGGAGGTCGGATAAGGGGAAGGGGGAGATGGGTTTTTCAATTGTCCCTAAAGTTTCCCGGTTATCTTGCTATGCCTCGTAAATCCTTGTTAATTTTTACCGACTGCTGTGTATCGGTATGTGGTTGATTGCAACTACGAAAAATTGCACTTACTTCATAGTAATCCCAATCGGCTAGAAACAAACCGCCCCGGTCTTCAGACATAGATGCTAACCAAATATTAGGTTGGCGGGAAAGTTCTGTCACATTTTTCAAATTGGGCTTTCTTTTTATAGAGAGGCGTACAAGATCAAAATTATACAGCAATGTTATTGCGAGGTTCTCGCCATTTTTTGAGCCATCGCTTCACATTGCAGGCCGGCGCGACGCAAAGTTGGACATCATCTCAACTTTGACTTGGGCTCAAGTCGTGGAGGTTTTCTCGTCCATATAACGATTAAGTACGGGAGGCAACTAGCAGTTAGAAGGAGCAATGTCTGGGCTACACCAGTGCAAGGGGAGAGCCATCCAGCTCTATTGCATGAGGTTTGGCTCGAACTTTTTGGACGGAGTGGGCTGCACTGTCCTGTTGAAGGCGTACTGTGCGGACAAGAGATCTCGTAGCTGCTTTGTGCAGTGATTGACCAAGGAAGCAGCTTCTCCATCCAGCAGTTTCACGACCCGCAGCTCCCTCAAGCTGAGTTCACATGTACCCAAACCTCACTTCGTCATCAAAACTGTAGGCTCCCGCTTTGAAGCATTAGCGTCGTGGAAGGTTGTCCGATAATTGAGGGCATCGTCCTATCAGCTCCACTATTTTGGCATCTGCAGCTGTCATGCTGGCGTCAGGGTGGTGGAAAGAAGAGTTTGAGGAAGCGCTTGGAGGGGTCGGTGCCGATGGTAGCGGATAACATTCTTGTCCATATTGCAGAAGAAAGAAGCAGGAGTCAAGCGAGTGGTACTAATAGAAAGACCACTCTTGATGTATAAGTGCTCACATTACCGGTTACCCCTCTTCAGGTAATAGGCAAGTATTTGAGTTCAAAAAAGTATGACAGAACTTTCCCGCCAACCTAATAGAAGCAAAGCAAGCACAGCAAGCACAACAAAATGACCTAAGAGAAGGGGAGGGGCAAAGCTCTATGTTTCTGAGAGGACCCCTCGAGATCTCATGAAAGGAAGTAATTCTGAGCAGTCTACATTGATCTTGTTGGTGAAGATAGCCATCCATAGTGGCATTTTGCCCCCTTACCACTGCGCCGCGCTTCCGAAGACAGTGAAGAGGTGAACGCACCAACGCTAGGAAGGCGCTGTCGTTGGCTCTTTCCGCCTCACCCTCATCCGATGAACACTGCCTTCGTTGTCGCATAGAGTCAGCGTAAACAACAGATAGGTAAATCAACCAATTAATCTTAGATATTCCACTTGACCTTCGTCTGACCAGTGTAACGAAACACCTTTAGAGGGTTCGATTTCGTTTCAAAGGCCGTGAGACGACGATTGATTGATCTGGAAAAGTTTGTTGTTCCGTTAAGGGCATATGGGCGATGATTTTACTGGAAAGCCGATCAGTAGTCTCCTACCTATTAAAACCTCTCTTGTTATTGCTGGGAATGGTAGTTTAGATTTCAGACGTTAGGGGCTGGACTTCATTCTCAAGCGCGATTTCACTTCCTAGGCGAGTGTACAGATCTACACTTCCTGTACTCGATGCTAGTTGTGGAGCGGAACTACAAAACATCTACTTAAATTTCTTCTAATGCATCATAACTGATCAGAGAATTACCTCCGACCAGTAATAATGTCCAGCATGGGGTTGTTATTATTAGTTATTGTTACATGCAAGAGAATCGCGTACCTTTTCTCGTGCAGCCATTTGGGCAGTACCAAGCGTTGCTGGGCCCACCTGTGTATTATTTTCGGCTTTATGCGCTTTCCACTACAGCATCAAGGAAGTCGCGGTCGCATCCGTACGTGTACTTCAACACCTGAGGTGCGGTAGGTGTGACTGCCTGCTTCATTTCAATGCGACAATCCGATATAAGACAACATCACAGTTGTCTAGAATTGAAATACCCCACAGTAGCCTATCATACGCCTACGCATATCAGGGATGTGAAGTGTTCACTAACCCTTCGAAGGCCAAACAAATTCCGCGGAGCGAATGCACGCTTCAACATATCTCATGGAAAATATTCCAAAGATTAGCGAGTCTCTGTCATTGTCTTTTCGATTGATTTTCCAGGTTTGGGACATTGGTGGGCAAAGCATCGCTGGCGAGATGATTGACAAATACATCTATGGATCACATGCAGCTTTAATCGTATATGATGTCACTAATATGGGCTCTTTTGACAATTCTCAGGATTGGCTAAATGTAATTCGCCGAGTAACAAAAAGTCAGGAAAAGGTGAGCTTACACTGCTTCCATTGCTAATTTTTAATGACCAACTTCCTAGCCCACTATTAAGAAAAAGTCTATTGTGTTAGCCAGTAGCTTCTCAGACAATTTGGAAATTTAAGTCCAGAAATTCATTCATTCGATCTGTTGGCCCACTGCCATATTAGCCTAATATTATTGATTTATGCCGAATACTGGGCTTGGACGGAACTGTAGAGTGGATATTTCTGTACATAAAGAGTTCTTTAAGTAGCAGGACGATCACCATAAGCAACTGGGACCTTCATCCCTTAGGCGGCTTCCCGATCGCTTCCTTAGAAATGAGAAAGAGCTGTCGACACGGTGAGAAAGAGCTGTCGATCTCATTTGCTAGTCAACACAGACTATCCAATTTTTCTAGGGGAAGCATTGGGGGCCTGATAAGGTTGCTGCTAGGAGGGACAAGACTGGTGAATAAGCTGGGCTTGAACGCGTTGTAAACAAGACAGTGAGGCTTATACTTGCAGCTGTACCATTGAATGTAAACTCTATTACAGCCTCCACAAATTGTATTGGTCGGCAACAAAGTGGACGAAGAACGTCTTCGAAAGGTGTCAGTTGATGCGCATTGCGAATTCGCGAAGCAGCACGATCTGAAAGCGTTTTATGTGTCGGCGAAAACAGGCGATTCAGTTGCCATGATGTTCAGGTACGACATTCTCTAACTGTCCCCTTTTCTACCCGAAAAGCTCACAGTCTAAAATAATAATTACCATTTTCCACTTTGATCGGACCCTTTTCCAACAAGTCGTGACATTTCTCGAATCAAAACGGACACAATCTACAATGGCAATAGGACAAGAATCTGGTAACTAGACCCACGAATAGTTCTGTGCACAGCCCGCCCACTCGCACACTACTCAGCGCGGTCACGGTTTTCCGAAGTATTTTATGAATTCTGCTTCTTCGACTTTTTTCCACTTTTGCTATTTGGCACATACACTTCAACTGAAAAGGATTAGTACCAACACAGATATGATTCGTCCCACTTTCAACGAAAGTTACCGCAAGTTTGTAATTTTTCGTGAATCTTCGTCGTCCTTCTTTCCACATTCAATCTTCACAAAACGTACACTCATGGCCATGCATTTAAGGCTAGAGTCCGTATTAGTAGGTTATGGCCTCTCCCGTCAAACAGAATGGAAAAAATAAACAACGAAAATGCGGAAAGAACGTTGTACCCAGTGTCGGGAGAAGCCGTAAGCTGCCAGTGCGGACTCCAGCCTGTCGATCTGCATCATTTTCCAAAAGAGGGTGGGCGGAGCCTACCTGTTACGGCCTAAAAAAGGAAACTTCGTAAAAAAATTAAAATTCCGCGAAAAATACAAAAATGGGCGTGGCCATGGAGGCGGGGCTTAGTATGCTAGGTATAAATGCATGGTGATAAGTATATGATTCTGCGTTTTGTGAAGATTGAATGTGAAAAGAACGACGTCGAAAGAATTTATAAAAATTCAAAACTTGCGGTAACTTCCTTGGAAGCGGTGACCGCGCTGAGAAGTGGGCGAGGATGTTGGGGCGGGGCTTGCAGCAGTACCTAGTGTGGTCTAGTTCTCAACTGCCCATTGTAAAAGGTGTGTCCGATGGAAGAGTGTCCGTTTTGATTTGAAATGTGGGCAGTATTTACCCCTTTACTGCCCCAGTCATCCGAAATCAGGCCTGACCG